GGGGGGGGCTGGGGGGGCTGCACCCCCCACCTTTCATTTTTTGCCTTCCTGGGCCTCAGGGAAGCCTCCTGGGTGAAGCAGTAAGACAGCGAGGGGAATCCTGGACAGCTGATCATAGGAACACGACTTCAGCAACAGAGTGGTCAATGTCTGGAATACTCTACCCGACTCTGTGGTTTCTTCCCCAAACTCCAAAAACTTTAACCTTAGACTGTCTACTATTGACCTCACCCTTTTCCTAAGCGGTCTATAGGGGGCGTGCATAAGCCAATGTGCCTACCATCCCTCTCCTATTGTTTCTTTTTATTTTTCTTATATGTATCCATTTCATGTATTCATAACTATGTTTATACTTATACCTGTTATCTTATAATTGCTTGACAAATAAATAAATAAATAAAAATAAACAGCTGATTGTCAGGAGGGAAAAAAAAGAAATATCTTAAGGAGTGACTGGGCAGGGAAGAACGCAGTCAGTGATGTCGGGCATGTGCATGATGTTGCTCGTGCGCGATAAAGACTGCCTGGGAGGAGAGGGGAGGGGCCAGCCAGGGGCATGATTTGCCAGTTCTCTGAACTGTGCAGAATCATAACAACCGGTTATATAGAACCGGTCCTAACCGGTAGAATCCCACCCCTGCTTATAGGAGATATATTAAAAATCAGAGAGACCAAAACATACAAAAATATAATTGTCCAACAGGCTTAGCATTTGCCATCCTAACAGAGACCATGTAATTTAAAATAAAAATTATATGTAGTATAAATAAACTTCACATGTTAAAATATATTGAATCATTTTTTTTCTTATTAGCATATATTGAGGGGAAGGGGCTAGTAAAAAGAAAAATAGACATACGTATACATCCATGCACTGCTGTGATTGGAACACCATATGGACGATAGTATCCCTTTAAACATTTCTCACAATTTATACCAGCTGTATTATGCTACATGGGGTAAAATAAAGAAGAAACTGGCATAAGAGAAATGCAATCAGAAGAAGAGATAAACAAGAAACAATTTAAGTTTTGGCAATTTTTAATTTGTTTCCACAATGAAGAAAAAGATTGCTGTAGTAGAAGTATAGTGATTTGGGATTTCTGTCAACGTATCAGGAATGCAGACTGAACCAGGAATGTTACAGCAACTTTAGGTTCAATATTTTCAATAATATCACAATTAGCAATAATACCACAGAGCATCAAGTTTAAATAAAAAGGCAAAATAAAATTAAAAATGGTTACACTATCATGAAATATCTGAATTTTCATATGAGATCTCATCAGATTTGGGGCATTTCTATTTTTTAGTTTTATTGCAGTATGATAATGAGGTTTTGTGGGTGCCACCTGATGGTATTATAGGTATTGCGCTGCCAACTTCCAAGGTTCAACTACATATATGGTAAATAAGCAGAACTCCATCATGGAATATCTCTCTGAGCAATATAGCATTTGTACTTCACAAATAATTGGAATTACCAAGATTAACCACTCAATTTCATCAACTGAAAGGACCATCAAGGAGTTGAAGGTGCAATTTTGTCTAACCAATTATAGCTTTTCCTAGATCTTTCTAATATATGGCTTACTTTTTTGTGTTTGAGTTTTGATTTGTTTCTTGGTGTGAATTCCTGATCTATTAATTCTTGTTTCTATTCTGACTTCTGTCTGTTGTTTTCCTAACACAAAACTGATTTCTCCTATAGACTCAATATTGACACAGATGGCTACACATTTCCATCATAGCACTCATATAAAACACATAAAATTATAAATATCAACTGTAATAAATTCATCCTTATATGGAAGATAAATTCAGTTCTAGGCACCCTATTTCAAAGGGACAGTAACAACTATTCAAGCTCAGAAGACAACCAAGATGGTTAGGAGTCTGGAAAACAAGTCCCACAAGGAACAGTTAAAGGATGTAGCCTAATGAAAAAACAACTGAAGAGAAATGTGATAGCACAGAAATGGAAGTAGACATCTTTTCTATTGCCCAAAGGACAGAGCCAGAACCAGTGAGTTAAAACTTTAAGGAAGTAAGCTCAACTAGGCATCAGGAGGAATTTTCTACCTGTTAAAACTGTTTACTGATGGAATAGAGGCTACGTCGTCTTCAAATTAAGACCGTAATGGAGCCTGCCCATTACAGTATAATTCATATATCGTAATGGTGGTAAACTTTTACAACCTTTTTTGCAGCGGTCTTTAAGTCATTAAGCAAACCAAAGGCTCACTATGGGCAGGGTTTTGTTGAAAACTGAAAGTGCCGGATTTCAGCAAAACCATCATAAAACTGATCACGTGACCATGGGACAGCTGTAAAGGCAGATGTGTTACTGGGTGACTGAAGTTCAGTCATATGACTATAGAGAGAGCCCAACCACTATCTAAGCCATGTAATCTTAGAAATAGCCCTACTAGCCTAAAATAGTTCAATTCTACAGAATAGTCCTGCATAGTTAGCCACCAAAATTGAAAAAAGTTTTGAGTGATAGAAAATTACTCTCTTCTCTAGCCCAGAACAATTGAAATTCAGCATGCCATTTGCAACTTTCACATACTTATCAATCTTCAAAATGGGTTGCAGGGGGTTTACCTGACAGTCAATGCAGACTCCTCCCCCTTGATACTGTCCATGAAGATTTAGGCTTTCTTTACGTCGTTCAACATCATGATCATAATAGCAGTCAAGGGCATGGCCATGACAGTTGCAGGCTGTGAAAGATGGTGGATTAAAATTCTTTTTAACAAAAGAAGAAAATGAGCAGTGGAATATTGATTTTAAAAAAATCCATCACAAGTTGTACATACAACCTGCAGTGACCTTTTCACAATCAACAGCAAGGCAGATGATATGTGCGCACTTGAATCAAGAAGCATTCCCATCTACCAACTTAAATCAAGTTGTCTTGTCACAAGAGATTAAAGGGATTGTTTAATTGCTCTAGATAATTGCAGAATCACAACTCAGATCTAAAGAAATACAGAGCTACCGTGGGATTCATATCTGTTTGTTTTACTTATCATTTACATGATTGTTATTATTATACAATGTAAATGTTGCAAATATGACCTGTGTTTACATGGAAGCAACACTTGTCTTTCTGCATGACTTACGTTCACAGACATTTGTGCTGCTGGCTGTTGCAGGTTGCCAACTTTTCTGATTATACCCTGGACAGCAACGATCACAGGTTTCCCCACAAGTATTGTGTTGACATTCACATTGGTACCTGTAAATATTAAGTAATTCTCAGTTAAATTTCCCCTATTGCACTTTTCATGATTTTTGTTGTACTTTTCATATCTTATTTCTTTATGAGATATAATGTATAGATTATGTCCTAATCCAGGAGTTTCCAAACTTGTCAACTTTAAGACTTGTGGACTCAACCTGCAGAATTTCCCAGCCAGCTATGCAGACTGGGGGATCCTGGGAGTTGAAATCCACAAATTTTGAAGTTCACAAGTTTGGAGATGCCTATCCTAATACAATGATAATACAAATTAATTTGTTTATGAAATGTATATCCCCACATTTGTACTAAAAAGTCCATACAGGAAACTAATAACTTTTTCAAACAAAAACTCATTCTATTATAGCCATGACGATGGATAAATAACCTTTGCTATAATCTGAGATTTTGGAGCAAGGAGAATCCCCAAATCACCTCCATCATTTTATACATAAACAAAAATCATTTGTAAGAACTGTTGTTTTGATTGTACAGTTGGTTACTTTACCTGTAGGAATTTGGGTCAGTTTTTCCAGCACACACATCAGCATGTCCATGACAAACACACTGTCCACCAATGCTGATGTCTTTTAAACTGTAGTAGTACTAGATAACAGAAAAAATAAGATTTGTAGACAATTAGCAGAAGCAATCTATTTTCAAACAGTTCTGTTAAATACTTTTATGGATGCAAATTGGACACTAATTATTTGCTATGAAATATAGATTTGGCCCAAGTATATTCTCCAAACCTGTAATACTTAATGTAAATCATTAGAAGGAGTTTGGTAGCAATTTCTCCAAAAGATCAAATGCCTTTTAATAACATTTGTTGATCCAAAAAGATGTTACCAGACTTCTGGTTTTTTGTTGCTTGGCCATAATGGCTATTCAATCATGCATTTGTTTCATTTTATACACTTTCTATATTTTAATGTTTTTCACAGATGAAAGAATTAGAAAACAAGAAACAGTGGAAGGAAAGGGAGGAAATTGTATTAATACTGATAATAAACAGGTAACAAGTTTAAAAAGCTGTACCTATGGGAAAGAAAAAACACAGAGAAAAGTTGCTACAATACTAAAACTATGAATCCGGGGTTGAAACCATTCAGCTCAGCTATGTGATTCATTTGGTGTCTTTAGGCAATCAGTTACATTATAGTTCCCTTATCTTTAAAATTAAGATAATATTTGCCTATTTTAAAGGTACTAAAAAGGCTAATGAAAACCCTTCATAGGATAACTGAGGATCCTTCCATGAATGTTCCCTCAACTCTGCCAAAGTTCTGCAGTTCATCTGCAGCCAAGTCAATTAATTTTTGCAATGCAAATATAAGTGTGCAAGAATATTTCTGCAGAATACTATATTGTTATTCTGGAGCAGGCAGCTTCTGATTGGCATTTTGGGGATATAAAATGTTACTGTAAAGAAGCTTTTAGATTGCAAAGGTTATCCATTACAGGGATTAGCCATATTTTAGCGACAGATAAGAGCCCATTTGAATTGCTATGCTGCGGAAGTGGAAATGTTACCAGATACAAATATTGTACCTTCCCTTGCCATCTCAAGTTTTTTAGAAAGTCTCTCAGGTACAAGAAATGTGTACAACCACTTTGCCTAACACTCTGAAAAGATTGTGCTGGTTTAGAAGAATTAAACTCAATGGACAATATTCTTACTCAATAAAAATTTACCACATATGAGAACATGCACACAGAAAGGGTTTTGAGTTTGTTGCTCTTCTATCTGAATTTCAAGTAATATGCAACACAGTGGTGGGATTCAACTTTTTTTACTACCGGTTCTGTGGGTGTGGCTTGGTGGGCGTGGCAGGGGAATGATACTGTAAAATCTCCAGTCAGAGGTGGTATTTGCCGCTTGTCCAAACTACTCAAAATTTCCGCTACTGGTTCTCCAGAACTGGTCAGAACCCGCTGAATACCACCTCTGATGCAACAGCATAATATAGAAAATTTACATGGAATGTTATATCCTAAATTATCAATAGTAAGTAGAAGCTGGTTAAAAATTAGTCTAAGGTTTTGCAGAATAATGCCACTATTGGATTCCCTCTGTCAAAAAGAACAGGAACTCACTCTGCGTGTCACAGTTGGATCCCGCTGAGCTTTCGAGATCAAGTGTCCAAGAAGAGTGTTGGTTCTGAGGAAATGTAAACGAATATTTGTGGCTTTAGTAAACTCTCTAAGTATGGGAGAATGGCTGAAAGTATTTGCTCCTGGACGGCCATTTACCAAGGATATCACAATCTGATTTGAAAAAGAAAGATGGATAAATCAATAGTATCTGCTTTAATTTCAATATTTTTAAAAATTGTTAAGAATACATCTAGAAATTATTTTTTAGCATTCATCTTATGTTTTAATCTTTCTCTCCACCCATATTATGTTGATTTTCCCATTAGTAACCCATATTGGAGATTGAACATGTGGAATTTTGAGGGTATGTTGGCTTCCATCTGAGAGGGCTTCTCCATTATCAAATTTATTGGATGAAGGGTAAGTTATGAAAAAAGTCAGGTGAGACTTGTACAGAGCTTGAAAGAAACCCTTGTAAGTTGTCATGTTATGTCTTGTCATATTTGCAAACTTTGATGACATATTGGTTAAGTTCACACTTCATGATAAACCAAAGGACGATTAACATCCTTAACACTGATTGCTCAACTGACTAAAATAAAAATTGAATAAATGACAATATGTTCAAAAAAATTGATTATGATTATTATAAATATAAGTAATAGGTATCTGTACATCACTAGAGGATTGAATACTGTTAACACTGATCAATGTTTATTTATTTCCTGCTGTAGCCCGAAGAGTTAAGAAATACATAAATAAGTGGAAAAAGTTCTTTTAATTAAAGGCTTTTTATAGCAAAAAGAATATGCACAATGTTCTAATGGAACTTCCCCATCAGCAGGAACAGCTTCAAGTTCTTTTTAACAAAAGCTCATTGTAGAACACTAATAAATTCTGCTAACTCAGAATTCAGTTCACAGAACAACACTATTTTATGAGCAAATTGGAAACTTTACTCACACCAGTAAAATTTTATTGATTTAAGAAAACCGACTGATATGGGAAATAAGTCTATCTTTATATTGATGCTCCTAATTCCAAACTAAGGTATTTGTTTCATCTTGGTTTGGTGGTTATATAAAAATAATTGTGTATAAAAAAAGAAAATAATAGCCTCAAAATGAATGGTCAGTAGTGTAACATAGAATAGCCTAGACTAGAGCAGTGTTTCTCAACCTTGGTGATTTTAAGATTTGTGGACTTCAACTCTCATACTGGGCCTTTGGAATTCTGGGAGTTGAAGTCCACACATTTTAAAGTTGTCAAGGTTGAGAAACACTGGACTAAAGAAACAAGAAAGGATATCTGGAGATTATCATCAAAGTGGGTTTTTCTTTAAATCAAACCATAACTGAATCCAATTCATAGTGAAGTAGGAAAAGTGGATAAAATCAATCAAGGCAGCAAATGTGACCACAGATATGAGAAGGAACATTCACAGATAATTACAAACCAGGTTCCTACGGTAGAATTTATGATGCTAGAAGTACTGAAAGAATACATGCAATAACATTTGAACAATGGCAGAATGGCCAGCATTATAACGTTGATGTCTTCAGCTTACCTCTCCATTTTCTAAAGGCACTATCCGAGAATATTCTGTTGTGCAAATGACATCATTATCCTTTCTGAGAGGACTATTAGCTTCCTTTCTGAAATGCTCCCAACAGTCTGCCTTAGAATCTATTTTTTTAAAAGAAAGTCACTTTTAATTCAGTCTCTGGTATGTTTTAATTGTGTCTTCTAGTTTTGATAGTAAGATTTAAAAGTAAGACACATGATATTATCAAAGCATAAGAGTTCATGCTGGAGCAGCCTTGGTGTCTCAAGTCCTTCTCCTTTCTCTTAGGTTGTCCAAAGTGTATGGACAGTCTCCCAAAGTTGAGTCAAGGTATTCTTGGCTCACTAAAATATTAATATTTAATAAATCTGAATCAGGGAACTGAATGAAGAAAAAGGAAGGTAAGTAACGTATATAGAATCCACATCAGTTCCAGTGGTGGGATTCAATTTTTTTTACGACCGGTTCTGTGGGCAAAGCTTGGTAGGTGTGGCAGGGGAGGGATTCTGTAAAATCTCCAGCCAGAGGTGGCATTTGCCGGTTCTCCGAACTACTCAAAAATTCTGCTACCAGTTCTCTAGAACTGGTTAGAACCTGCTGAATACCATCTCCGATCAGTTCTGAAGAGAATGAAGACATCTTATGAATTCTTTTAAACAGTAACAAAAACTTTGGTTATCATAGGCATGAGCCACAACATATCTTGGTGCCACTACTATTACCTGGCTTTATTGTTTACCTTAACTATGAATTAGGGAACAGCATTTTTGACTCATTCTGTGTACAATTCAGCATGGCTAACTCTAAAAAAATCAATTAGCTTGAATTCTTTCTTTTTTTTTTTAAAGAAAAAAGTACTATAAACATTGAAAGAGCTGTGATTCATACTCACAGGCAAAATATTGCCATGGTGTATATGTTCTTCCAAAGTCTATTGATCTCTCTAATACCCACAAATCTGGACGAGGAGAATTTGCAAATTTGATGAGGACATAGGCCACATGGAACAACTGGTAAGAAAATATATAAAGGAACATTAGAATATATCTGACAGCACTATGATACTATAAAGTAGAATGAATGAGTAAACTAAGTTTTTTATTGGTAGTGAGCTGGCATCCATTTCTAGGTGTTCTATGTACTTTTAGGGGAATCATTAACATTTTAGGGGAATCATTAACATAAGATTAATACTGTCCTGGGCACAGTGATTAGAATGCAGTATTGCAGGCTAACTCTGCCCACAGTCTAGAGTTTGATCCTGATGGGCTTGAGGTTGACTTAGCCTTCCATTCTTCTGAGGTCAGTAAAATTAGTACCCAGATTGTTGGGAGTAATATGCTGATATTGTAATCCGTTCAGGGAGTTCTGGAAAGCACTATGGAGCAGTATATGTCTAAGTGATACTACTATTGCTATTTGATATTTTGTATGACTTAGCTAATGATCACTTGACGTTTGCTAACTTAAGGGTTAAAAATAATGACTACATTAGACATGAGAGGTACCTTTGAGGGCAATCTCAAATGATTAGCAAATTAAAATCTAGTGTGACAACAGAGAAAAAAATATACGAGTGGAATATACTGTATAGTAACTGAATTAAATTATAATTACATTTAACCATAAATTGGATGAATTCAAATTTCATTTAATTTCTGATGTGAACTATCCATTTTTTAAAATTACAGTGTGCCAATCAAAGCTTAACTATGGGCCTTTGTCAGTGGTGGGTTTCAAAAAGTTGTCCTACAGGTTCGGTGTGAGTGCATGCTTTGCGCACGCACATTTGCAACTCATCTTCTGCTGCAAGCCCTGTGTGTAAAACAGCTGATGCGCGGCAATTGGCTTGCCGCATGAAGCAGCTGAGGTTGAAAAGCAGGAAATAAGGATCATTATAGAGCCGGGGCAGGTGGGAGGGCCCAGCAGCCGATTGTCAGAGTGAACCGGTTCTGGTAAAATACCACCACTGACCTTTGTTCAGAAAAATGTTGTGCCTTCTATTTATCAAGATAGATCAAGATTCATCTAATCAGACTTTGTTAAACAGATTAAAAAAACAAAGTATTTCAGAAACAATCACAAAGTTACTGTTGGATAAATCAACAGAAAGGAATGTACACGGGTTCAATAAGTCAATTGCCCTGGGGGAAATACACAGAGACTGCAATATCCAAAGTATAGATTAATAGCTGAAAAAAATGATGAATCAGACATACTCATTCAAGGCAGAAAAGCTTGTCATTAAAATATCATCCCAAGATATTTTACAATATTTTGAATTTCTCAAGTTAAATTTCCTTTTATTAAACCATTGAGATTCAACTGAAAAAAAATTACATGGATATACAAAAGAACTGACAAGAAAGGTGATGTGAACTCATATGAATATTTTATTGCCTGTAATTTCAGGATCTTTAAAAGAAAAAGGGGGAAAAAACTTGCATCCCAAAACTCCCAAGTTCAATCCCTGACAAGGATTAGCTAATAAATGATGTTTTCAAGTACTCTTCCTTGGCCTGGAGAACCACTGCCAGTCAAAACAGGTAGCTGTGTGATTTAAATGGTTTCATAGTTTAATCTAGTATGAGAAAATGCCATAAATGTGTAAGATTATCTATGCTAAAGTAGAGCAAATAACTTTTTAACTTGGCTACTAGCCTTTTATTCTATGTCCACAGTGGACTATCTCTGTCTATAGGAAATCCATAAGCAGGTCATAAATGAACTTGTTTCTCAGCGTACGACATTGAAAAACATACTGGTCTTGATTTGGGAAATAACTACTGAGAATTTTGTCTTCCATTAATGTTTAAAATCCAATGTGCTTACTTTAGTAACGGTGCCTTTGGTAACAAAGTATAATTGATTTTACATGAATTCATGTAATAGTATAAGCACTTTAGCTTTACTTTAGATTTGTTCTTTTTTTTCAGTTATTCAACTTTTAACCAACAATTGTATTTTTAAGTAATCTTAAGTATCACTGGTGAGAAAGTTTGAGACAGCAGTATAAGCAATTTAAAATATCACCACAGTATGGTTACTAGCCTTCTCTAACTTTGTTACTTTAAGTATATTGTACTACAACTTTACTGAGTGGCCAAGCTAGCTGAAATGACTGAAATTTACATATTTGGACAACTTACAGGTACCCATATTAGTGAGTCTGCTCATTATTACAGTATTTATTCCATAATGTACCTACTGCAGTTGATGAGTCGACATTGGATAAATATTTTTAGAGTTTAAGGCTATGTTTATAAATCTACAGTTCGCTCAATTATAACTTGCTTAAATATAAATCGTACAATAAAATATCATTGGCTGAGTTTTCATAATATACTATATTTGTCTATAGTAAGCAATTTTTATTACACAAACCTTCACTTGCTTTCAACCTTCTATCAACATTAATTTTCATGTTATTTTGCTTTGAACATTGTCATAAACTTGGACTGTTTACTGTTTAACATTAACCACATTTATTAAAGTAGGTAAGCCAACGTTAACCACATTTGTTAAAGTAGGTAAGCCAACTATGTATTTGAGGAAGATGAACCAGTACATTTAGCTAAGGGAATGCTAGATAGCTTTTACCTTCTAGTCCTGGATTTTTTTACTTATTTCTCAAAGTTGTTCAGTTGTCTTTCCATAAAATCTTAACAGAGTCAATGTCAAACCAGTGAAATTAGAAAATCCAGGCAGTTCAAGTGAATATAAATAGTTATTGCACGCTTAAACTCTCTATAAGAATCTGAACAACTACAAATTGGCAGTAGATAACGATCAACAGAATTCAAGGTGGGCTGAACTTAGAACTCTTGTGGGCATGAAGGGATTCATGACTAATGACATATTTGACCCCTCCCTCAGGCTCAATCTGGTCATCTTCTCTAGTCAAAGTTATAAAGAGAACAGCAATTCTCCCAACGGACACGAAAAACAATAGTTTGGGAGGCTGATTTTGTAATATGTTGGGGATTGCGGGGATTATGTCTCCAAAATAGAGATGTTATAAACAAATCTTGTAGTTTGCTGAATATAAATATAAGTATTTTTTTCTGCTATTCTTCTCTATTCAGCAGGCCTGCAACATAAAACAAAAAATAGCTCTTGACCATTTGCACTTTATGTACCTAGACATAGCTGGTAAGTTTCCCCTCATTCTTCTTTCTCTAGACTAAACATCCCTTCAGTCTACCTTTGTAGGGAGCATCTTCAAGTACTTTTGTTGACCTTCTCTGACCACATCTTTAATTTGTAATGCACCAGGGATAAGTATCTTATTTGAACCAGGCCACATTTTTGCAGTACTTGTAATAGTTGTTAGGGTACTAACATTTCTTCTATTATGTCATTCTGGAAGCCTGACGGCATTTAGTACTTCCCTACTTTTGTCCATAATGCAGAGAAAAGGAAGGATGAAAATGCTTTGCAGAAGTTTCCTCATCAGGAAGGCAAGGATGGACCTGAATGAAGAAATTTTATTTGCAATTCAAATAAAAAACTGGGGATGTTTCTTGACCCCTTTAGCTGGCTACTTATGGGTGTGATGATGAACAACTCAAAAATAATTATATTGCAACTCAGTAAAAAAGATAATATAATTTTTTTCAAGATCCTTGCAGTCTGTGCAATTTGAGTAGGGCACTGATCTGCAAATAAATAGTAAAGGAAAATTAAGTAAGAGAAGAGGTTTTTTGGGAGAAAAAATCTGGAAACAAGCAGATCTTGAATTATCTGGAAGGAAGAGCACCATGAGGTGTGGTTTGATTTTCAAGGGACACTTTGTAGACAGGAAGTTGTTTCAACTTTCTTCAGTAAGTCAGTTCTTCTGACAAAGGACTTCATGTGGCCATAAGGTCTATTTTTCTCAGCTTGGATATTGAACCAAAAATAATTCTAGCTAGGGAAAAGAATTGGTTTTAGTATTGTGATGTTATTAAAGTAGTTTGCTGTTCTGTATTATGTTAAGAATAGTTAATGATTTCATGCATCTTTTTAGGTACCAATGTTTCAAAATGGAAAAGGAGTCTACTGTACAGTAACTACAGGGCATCTTTTTTTTGGAAAAAAAAATTAATCTTATTTGGACTTCCAGGGAACATGTTGTAGACTGAAGATATTTCCCTCAAAGCAGATCTGACAACTGTGACGGAATGAAGAATTCATTAAAAGCAAGTGGATAATTCCTTATAATTCCTCTCCAGACTAGGAGAACACCTGAGATCACCTACAAGTGCTCCTAAAGTTGCTTCTCCTAAGGAGACTGAATGACAGAGGTGGGTGTAGATTTCAGGAAGACAAGGGAATAGACGTCTTTTTGCTTTAATTGCAATTGGCACCTTTAAAAAACAATACTAGGTTTGCATGCTACCTTTCTAGTCCCTTTCTGAAATTGGTTGTTAACTAGTTTTCAGCTAGTAGGAACTTTTGGATGAACAGGTTTTACAGCACTGGATGATTTTCCTTCAATCCATAGCGAAAGAAGTTTTAAATTCAAATTTAAGGCTGTGAAAAATTATTTTAGAATAATCTACAAACGAAGGATTGGGACTTTGATTTTGGAAAGTTAAAAAAAGACTAATGGGTCCAGATGAATTTAATATATGATTTTGGAACTAATCATAAGAATCCTTCCTGTGGGAAAATGCTTCTGTCTTAAATTCTCTTTTTAAAAAATGATAGGATGTGATTCCAATGGTTGGACACTGAAGGTACCAGAACAAACTACAGATTACAATTAAAGGAGGTGAACACTTACGTTTTATTAATTAATATAGGATGCAGCAAAACATTTTAACATTGGACATATTGAACAATTGGACATATTGAACATATTGAATTGGAAAAGAAAGAAAGAGAGAAGGGGAAAGATCTATCTATCTATCTATCTATCTATCTATCTATCTATCTATCTATCTATCTATGTGCAAATTATTTAACCTACAGTAAGTTACAAAATTACTTGCCAAATAGTCTACTTTTAAAGCATCTTCAGAAGAATTTTTTTTATCATTTACTTAAGAAGCAGATTTCATAGATTTGCTTAACAGCACTTTCCCCTGCTTAATTGCTCTGAAAATTGGGATATTTTCTGACTATAGTATTTAATATGAATTCAGTGTACCTTAAATGAATGGGTGTCGTGTTAATTTTGATATCTTTTTCAAAATCTTTTTCAATATTTTAGTGTACTTTTCCAGACATTTTCTGCACTCCACAGATCTTGATAAAGAGGTGTACCTAAGTGTACATGTCTGTACATGCATTTATGAATGTGTCTAGCACTTTACCTGGGGCAATGGAAATCTAGTATCTTGTACTGTTCCTCACTCATATTGTTTTAAGCCGCTTCACTGCATTTGAGAGAAGGTACCAAACCTGTATTTGTTGAACCCACACTTTGTCATCTGGGAAAAATACACTGTGTCCACTAAGAACTGGGATAGGCAGCAATATGCATCCACTTTGTAAAGCAGCATAGAATTTAAGAGACTGGGAACTGCACCATAGTACTTCATATGATTTTATGAATGTGCTGCTGAAAATTAGGGGCAACTTAGAGGGAGGGTTGGAAGCCATGGATATTCTGAGTCATTACATTTGTGACTTCAACAGAGAGTAGTTTTATTATTATTTATCCAACAATTTTATATAGTTGCCCAACTCACATATAGTATGGTGATTCTCATAGGTTTAGAACAAAATTTCACAATGTAAGAACCCATGAATCCTTCACGAGTCTTACTTCACTCACCTCTCAAGCTCCGAATGCCTAAGGAAAAAGGGTCTTTGGCAATGTGGAAAAAAAGAGGCAAAAATGTATACATATATACTCAGGTATCGGCCAACCCTTGAATTTTTTAACAAAAATACCATGAAAAGTGTTAGCCTGTAGTTAAGCTGATCTGCATTTTAATGGCATATTAGTTTTTTAAAAATCAAAGATTGGCTTATCTGCAGTAGGTTTATCTGTGAGTATATACAAGAAATACAGATCTTTTAAAAGTTTGTTTATATTCACGGATAAGCCCATCCACAGATACACCAAACCTGATTTTGGGGTGTATTTTGAACACCTACAATCCTTGGCTTATATGTGAGCACATATGATTCTTACAAACTAAGCAGAGTATTAGAAAAGCCAAGGATATATTCTCCAAGATTCAGCACACATCTGGAAGGAGCTATACTTAGTGAAGGGAAGAGGAGAAGGATGTAGCTAAGATAAGAATAAAAGTAAGGCACCAAATAGCAATAGAAGAACTGGGAGAAGAGAAAACAGGACAAGACGAATCAGAGATGGTAACCAGGTTGTTGATTGCATTGTTACCTGAAGTTTGTTTTATTGCGGGCAGTACATTACATACCAGCTTGAAATTCTAATAAGCTGTTATTCACTTACAGTGTTAAGCATCATATTGCTTAATATGAACCAGCCTATCATTGTGCTGCAATGGAACAAAACAATGCCTATATCTCCCTTCCTTCCTTCCTTCCTTCCTTCCTTCCTTCCTTCCTTCCTTCCTTCCTTCCTTCCTTCCCTCCCTCCCTCCCTCCCTTCCTCCCTCCATCCCTCCCGCTCTCCCTTAGGAAGCGTCTTCATGGCTGGGAATTTCCCTCTACTATCATTTTTGTGATGGGTCACTAATTTATATAGAATGAGGATTTCATTTGGTTCATTTTCTATCAACTTTGGAAAATGCATAGATTCTGACACAGACAGAAGGAACTAGGAATTTAAAAACTGTATGTAGAAGAAAACAAAAATGCTTTGAGCACTTTGTCCTAAAAATCTGGGTTTGAAGGCTAAGCAAATGGAGAATTTTGTTGATTCACTTTTTTTCCAGAAAGGGCACATTAAAAATATAAGATTAAAAGAACTGAATGTGAGGTTCAATTGTATTCCTACGCTGATCAAATTACTGGAGGAAGAATAAAACCCTTTGTAACTAGCTTGGATCTAGCCACACAAGAAGCTTTGTTTAGTTTGCTTTGTTCTGAATTAACTTGAGAAATGAACCCAGCCAAGTCAACAAGCCATGGTTTAAAATCATAGCTTGGTGTGATGTATGAATTTAGCCATCAAGAAAAGGAACTAGCTGTGGCTAAATTTCCTTTGGTTTAATTACTATGAATCTAATTTTAAATAGTACCATTGAATTTTATATGAATATATTCCTTTCATGCTTTCTGGTTAGACTTTATAAACAAAACCAGCTTTAACAATTATCACAGCCCAGGAAGAATGCTAAACAATATCCTTTATGAATATGGGTAGGTAGAATCGTCTATTTGCATGCAATCCAAAAACACATTTAGGTTTTTTACACTGCAGGAGAGAAAACACAAGAAGATTTTGTTCCACAACTCTTCCCCCAATGTAATGAAATCTGAATTCTATATTTATCATATAGGAAGGGGAATTAATCACAAAGAGAATAAGAGGGACATGGCATTTTTCAAAAAGTATTTGGATCTGTTTGCAACACCTTTCCTCTAATTGTGCATATTTTAATGAGTGGCTTACCATATAGTAGAACTAATGTTTCCTAACAATGCAATGTATGTTTCCCTAGGAAGAAAAAAGAACAAACAAGCTAACTGGATTAAACCTCAGCATGGGCTCCACCAGCACAATAGAAACAGGAACAGCTGAGAAATGTTTTTAGATCTTTGATATCTAACCCTATGCATCTTGTTAGAAATCATCTGTTGATTTTAATGTATTAGCCTATGGTTTCTCTGAATCTGTTAGTTTTATTGCTATACTATACCAATCTACTAAATAAATAAACTAAATAAATCTACTATTAAAAAAGGGAGACCCCAGCCTAGTTGAAAACTACAGACCAATCTCTTTATGCTGCGTCACCTGTAAAGTCATGGAATCAATTATTAACCAATCCATTATCCTCCACTTAGAGACAAACAACCTAATCTCTAACAAACAATTTGGTTTCAGAAAAAATCTATCCTGTAATCTGCAACTCTTATACTGCAAAAACATATGGACTACACAACTCGATCAGGGCAAAGCAATAGATGCAATCTACATAGATTTCTGTAAAGCCTTTGATTCAGTGATACACAACAAACTATTCCTAAAACTAAAATCTTATGGTATCTCTGGACACCTGCATAACTGGATAGAAGCATTCCTGTCAAACAGACAACAAATGGTCAAAATTGGGAGTGTCCTATCAAATTCTGTACCTGTCAACAGTGGTGTCCCCCAAGGCAGTGTTCTAGGACCAACTCTCTTCATACTCTACATTAATGACCTCTGTGATCATATTAAGAGCAACTGTGTTCTCTTAGCTGATGATGTTAAGCTATTCAACACCACAGACAATACTGCTACCCTTCAAAAAGACCTCGACTATGTATCAGAATGGTCAAACAAATGGCAACTTCAAATCTCAACAAATAAATGTTCTGTCTTACATATTGGCAAAAAAAAAAATCAGAAAATAAAATACAACCTGAATAGTCAAGAACTTGTTGATGATCCAAACTCTGTCAAGGACCTTGGAGTACTCATCTCAAATTATCTAAGTGCTAGAGCCCACTGTAACTACATAGCCAAAAAGGCATTAAGAGTTGTTAACCTAATCCCATGTAGCTTTTTCTCTGGTAATATCACACTACTAACTAGAGCATACAAAACATGTGCTAGACCAATACTTGAATACAACTCATCAGTTTGGAACCCACATTACGTATCTGATATTAACACAGTTGAGAAAGTCCAGAAATATTTCACAAGAAGAGTTCTCCACTCCTCTACTCGTTGCAGAATACCTTATGCCACCAGACTTGAAATTCTAGACCTAGAAAATCTAGAACTACGCCACCTCCGGTCCGATCTAAGTATAGTATATAAAATCATACATTGCAATGTCCTACCTGTCAATGAATACTTCAGCTTCAGTCATAACAATACAAGAGCACACAATAGTTACCAACTCAAGGTAAACCGCACCAAACTTGATTCAGGAAATACAACTTCAGCAACAGAGTGGTCAATGTCTGGAATACTCTACCTGACTCTGTGGTTTCTTCTCCTAACCCCCAAAACTTTAACCTCGGACTGTCTACTATTGACCTCACCCCTTTCCTAAGAAGTCTGTAGGGGGCGTGCATAAGTGCACCAACGTGCCTACCATCCCTGTCCTATTGTTTCTTTTTATTTCTCTTATATGTATCCATTTCATGTATTCATAACTATATTTATACTTATACCTGTTATCTTATAATTGCTTTACAATTAAATAAAATAAATAAATAAATGTGATAACCTCATATTATTATGAATCGAATTCTTTAGTAAAATATAGATATAAATTTATTTATATTGCTTAGTATTTTAATGTTCTGATGGAATTCAGAAATGGCTTAACATGAGATCATATCAATCATATCTATTACATCATATCATATCAATGGGGAAATATATGAATTTTGATCCTATTGCAAAGCTGCAAGAGGCTGGTGGTTTATGCATACCACCCTACAACAAGATGTTTCCATGTTCCATGTTGAACCACATACACGGAACTTTAGCCAATCCAAACTAAATCATCCACAAGGTAAGCAGAACTGTACTTACCTGTCCTAGATCCAAAGTAACGTTTATTTCATCATACTTCAAACCCAAGGAAAGAGAAGGACTTTGCCACCAACGCTCTGTTCCATCTATAGCATAGTCTATTGGATGAGCCTTATTAGGATCAGCAGCATTGCAATAGTCACAAAACTGGCCCTGAAACAAATAGGCAAACAAAAAGATATAAGAATTACCACTCAAATTTTGGTGCATTGAAAGATTCAGAAGTTGTAATTCCTCATAAATGCCTAAAACAGCCTAATTCAGAAATAGAGATAAAAATAGATTCTTCCACAGCAAAAATCTTGCTTTACTGCAGTTACTTGAAGGAGAATTAAGATGTGATTCAAAACGGCAACATATTCTAAATAGTCAGCAATGTTCTTCTCTACTGTCAAAATTCACTAACTTGAGCTTCCAAATAAGAAAATTAAAATAATTTAAAAACTTTTAGATACTGGCTGACTAATTGAGTCTTGAACAATGCCTTCTCTGCTCCCGGCATTATCTCAGAAAGGTGTTCAATATGGCAGGCTATCTGCAGCATACACAGATGTGTTTGTTTCCATGAAAAAACATTCTTTAGATTTCTGCTGGAATTCATGGAAGCAGCCTAAAGATGTCAGTCTTTCTAGACCTTTCATGAAGATGCATCCTCCTCTAAATTCCAATATGTATTCCAAATATTTTAAGTGGTCCATGAACACATGGTAACATATACAGATAGTCCTTGACTTACAACCATACATTTAGAAACTGTTCAAAGTTATAATGGCACTGAAAAAAGGGACTTATAAACCAGTCCTGGCATTTATGGTTAGTCATGTGATCAAAATTTGAGTGCTTGGCCACCAATATGTACTTACAATGATTGTAGGGTCCCAGGGACTCATGATCACCACTTGTGACCTTCCCAGCTGGCTTCCAACAAGAAAACTCAATGGGGGGGGGGAGCCAGATTCACTTCATAATCATGTGATTCGCTTAATGACCATGGTGATTCACTTAGTGAACATAGCAAAAAAAGGTCATAAAATTGGGTGCCACTCACTTAGGTAATGACATTCTGGTCCAACTGTGGTCGTAAGTTAAGGATTACCTGCATCCTCTGTATTAGATTGACATTATGTAGGGCATATAAGAAAAAAGTTCTGCCCAGATGTTACGCTTAGAAACTCCAAAAATAGGGCACTAATAATTCTTTAAATCACATAGATCAAAACTAGATGTACATTTTAAAAGCAGTGGTGATGAGGAATTTCTAGGCCAAAGGGCAAATTCAAGGGACAAGGACCCCAAAACCTCATAGAAAGGCAAAAGTTGAGCAAAACTAGACATTAAAAATAGTATTTATACTATTGAAATCAACAGATATATTGAAAATTTGTATATTCAGAAAGCATCTGAATGAGGAGGGTGGATGGAAGCTACTTGTGTAGGTGAGGGAAAGTGAAAGGTTATTCTGATCATTGTGAATCATGATCTTCATTATTAACTCATAGAAGAAATGCCTACTGTAAAGTATACTACTTGAATTCATTTAAACAGCACCTTAAATTACTCTCTGCTTTATCCTATGAAACTCATTAGAAACTGAGGAGATGTCAAACTTCTACAGTGGAGATTTGCAAAGAAAATGTTATGGGGATACTGGAGAGCTATTTACAAATTGCTTATTCTAGCCAGGAATGGTTCTCTCACCTTAGGCAGGTTAAAGGTTTTTTCATTATTTCATCAAAATAGAATAGGATAGAGTAGAATAGAGTAGAATAGAATAGAATAGAATAGAATAGAATAGAATAGAATAGAATAGAATAGAATAGAATAGAATAATTTATTGGCCAGGTGTGATTGGACACATAAGGAAATTGTCTCTGATGTATAAGCTCTCAGTAATTGTATCAGTGTACATACAAGTAACAAGTGATAAATCATGATCATAAAGATATTGATGGCAGCTAGGAATTACATTTGTACTTGCAATGTGCAATTTTGTATATATAGTTCTCCCTCTTTGCTCCCATTTATGTTGCTTTGTTGGAACATGATAAAATCACCCACTATAGCTGCCTCATCCCAGAAAAACTTCACAACTAGACACATATTTAGTTTGATTTAAATCCTGTGAAGTCCCATAAATTATGGATTATTCCCAGAAAGCATGTATACATGAAAGTTTTAAGAATGCATTATTAAATATCAATGCTGATATGATGCCAATGGCTAAAGTTAAATTAAGGGAACAATTAAATATTACCCAGGATCCTGGGTGTTTATACAGTGTTAGCCTGTAGACACATAGCGTTGTCAGTAATCAATTTGGAAAAAATGTTGAAAGAAGCACATCTTCTCTGTAAACTACAAGAGCCTGTGCAGATTGAGGTGTAACAGATTGAACCAATAAGTAACAAAATAAATAAATCTCAGGTAAATCTCCAATTCTGTATGTTGTCTATCTAAACTTTCTGATTATCTGGAATATGCTATTTTCCCCATCTATCCCTTTCACCTGGATATATCTGTATATGCGTGGACATGTTCGCCTAAATTTTTAGTTTAAGCTATTTAATGCATAGTACCTATTTTTATGTGAAAATAATTCTAGTAATTCAAGCTGAAACAGTATGACAATATATGCATTGCTGTGACTGATTTCCCAATCTTTTGAAAGAATGTAGAAGCCCTCTTGAACCACAGTAAGAGGTAAACTACAGAAGTATTCTTGCTATGTGTCTCAATGAGGCGTTGTTAAAACTGCAGAGAAGGACTTTGATGGCTTCCCAGTCAATCAAATATGCAAGGAGAATGACATGCTTTCTTGTACCAAGGTAGATCTCCCAAAAGCCCTGTTAAGATCTTGGACCTGGCACAAATCGTATCTGACCTCATATCCAAAATCTCCAAGACAAATGTTAAATAAGGAAAACTTTATTTTATTTATTTATTTTATTTTGTCAAGCGATTATAAGATAACAGGTATAAGTATATACATGGTTATGAATACATGAAATGGATACATATAAGAAAAATAAAAAGAAACAAAAGGACAGAGACAGTAGGCATGTTGGTGCGCTTATGCATGCCCCCTACAGGCCTCTTAGGAAAGGGGTAAGGTCAATAGTAGTCAGTCTAAGGTTAAAGTTTTTGGGGTTTGGAGAAGAAACCACAGAGTCAGGTAGAGTATTCCAGACATTGACCACTCTGTTGCTGAAGTCGTATTTTCTGCAATCAAGTTTGGTGCAGTTAACCTTGAGTTTGCATCTATTGTGTGCTCTTGTGTTGTTATGGTTGAAGCTGAAGTATTCAATGACAGGTAGGACACTGTAATATATAATTTTATGTACTATACTTGGATCAGACCGAAGGTAGTTCTAGATTTTCTAGGTCTAGAATTTCAAGTCTGGTGGCATAAGGTATTCTGCAACGAGTAGAGGAGTGGAGAACTCTTCTTGTGAAATATTTCTGGACTTTCTCAACTGTATTAATATCAGATACATAATGTGGGTTCCAGACTGATGAGCTGTATTCAAGTATTGGTCTAGCAAATGTTTTGTATGCTCTAGTTAGTAGTGTGATATTACCAGAGAAAAAGCTACGCAGGATTAGGTTAACAACTCTTAATGCCTTTTTGGCTACGTAGTTACAGTGGGCTCTAGCACTTAGACCATTAGAGATGAGTACTCTAAGGTCCTTGACAGAGTTTGGATCATCAACAAGCTCTTGACTATTCAGCTTGTATTTTATTTTCTGATATTTTTGCCAATATGTAGGACAGAGCATTTATTTGTTGAGATTTGAAGTTGCCATTTGATTGACCATTCTGATACATAGTCGAGGTCTTTTTGAAGGGTAGAAGTATTGTCTGTGGTATTGAATAGCTTTATATCATTGGCGAAGAGAACACATTTGCTCTTAATATGATCACAGAGGTCATTTATGTAGAGTATGAAGAGAGTTGGTCCTAGAACACTGCCTTGGGGGACACCACTGTTGGCAGGTACAGAATTTGATAGGACGCTCCCAATTTTGACCATTTGTTGTCTGTTTGACAGGAATGCTTCTATCCAGTTATGCAGGTATCCAGAGATACCATAAGATTTTAGTTTTAGGAGTACTTTGTTGTGTACCACTGAATCAAAGGCTTTACAGAAGTCTATATAAATTGAGTCTATTGCTTTGCCCTGATCAAGATGTGTAGTCCATATGTTTTTGCAGTGTAAGAATTGCAGATTACAGGATAGGTTTTTGTGAAACCAAATTGTTTGTTAGAGAGTAGGTTGTTTGTCTCTAAGTGGAGGATAATGGATTGGTTAATAATTGATTCCATGACTTTACAGGTGATGCAGCATAAAGAGATTGGTCTGTAATTTTCAACTAGGCTGCGGTCTCCCTTTTTGAAGATGGGGATGACTGTGGCTAATGACCATAGGTTTGGCAAGGAGCTGCTCCTGAAGGATTTTTCAAAGCTTATGCTTAGAGGTTCGACTATGGCAGTGGATAGCTTTTTTAAGAAGTAGGCACATATTCCATCCAATCCAATAGATAGAGATGGTTTTAAATTGCGTAGTGCTTTTTCAACATTGTCTTCTGTAAAATCGATATGTATTAGATCATTGTAGTTGTCTGTGGTTCGACTAGGAAATATTGGGCATGATCCATTGCTGTTTACAAATATTGAGCCAAAGAATGTGTTAAAGAGGTTGGCTTTAATGGTGTCATCGTTGCAGTCTTTACCATTGGACCTTGAGTCTTTTAGTTTGTTGTTTACGAAATTGTAGAAAGCGCGGGTGGAATTGGTGCATAGAAGGTTTTCCTCTTGTTTAATGTGATAATTGGTGCATTCAGTCTTTATCTGGTGGCATAAATTTTTGTATTGGCTTTTGAAGTTGGCAACATGACCAGATTTGTTTTTCCACCAAAGTGATCTCTTTTTGGATTGAAGCTTCCTTATTGTTATGGGTAATTTGTTTTTTTCTGGTTTTGGGACTTGTTATTGGTACATATAGTTTGATGACTCTTTTGACTTCATGTAAAAATATGTTGTAATGGTCTTCAACAGTAAAACTCTATTCTTTTTTTCTAATGTATGTCAAGTCTATAACTACATTGTTTATTAAACCCCAGAGCTTTCATTTCATAAATTGACAAAGAAGCACTTCTGTATTTTTTCCTATGGTCAGATCACTCTTGACCAATCTGATGCCATCCAAACGTATTGGACAATAACTTTTAGGATAATTGGCCAAGATGGGTAAGAATCCTGGGAGATGTAATCTTAGTGAAGTTTCCCCAGATTGGGAAAGTCTAACATGGATTTATGGAAATTCTCAGTCATCCAGGTCATGGTTGTCCCAAAGGTGCTTTTTTCAAAAGCCAGCTGGACTTCCTTTTGTTTTTTCTTGAAGATGTTTCACTTCTCATCCACTCTCAGTTCTATAACTAAAGAAGCTTCTTAGTTGAGAAGTGAAACGTCTTCAAGGAAAAATAAGAAAGTCCAGTTGCCTTTTGAAAAATCTAACATGGATCATTTTAAAGTGATTAAATTTGTAGATGTTTTAAAAACATTTTTCCAAAACCAGGCTAGTATTCATAAAGCAGGAATTGAAAACCGCATTTGTATGCTGTGGGAATATTTTCAAAAATATTATATTATGCTTAGGCTACCCAGCTGCTCATGGGCCTATAAACAATTCCTTGGTCAATACTACTATGAGGCTGTCTACTCATAAGTAAATATGCTTGAATGTAATGGTGCTTACTCCAGGACACTGAGTATAAAAATGCAGCTGTACTATTATACAGCTGCTGTAAATGTATCCTTCAGGATATTATTACTTTCTCAAACATCCTATTGTCCATACAAGTATTTTCTGGCATATCATATCCAACAGATATTATAAACTTATAAAGAAAAAGAACTGAATCTTTTTTGTGGGTCTTCATGCAGAGAGACACATGTATATCCATACAAATTTATCAGAATTCAGCTAAAATGCATATGGCTCAAATATATACACAACAAACATGGTTGATTTAGAAATGGACTAGAAGCTACTTTTCACGACAAACATCTTAAGCTATTCTTAGTGCATATGCAGATTTGATGTTGTGCAATAGTGGATCACCTGTGTTAGATTTTATTCTTCTTCTGACTCCTAACAGACAAGATCCTACAAGTTGCTGCCAAAACACCCGAAGGGAATTTATTTTCTTTAACCCAACCCTGAAAAGATGTCTGTGGATTCTCCTTTTCACTATAGCAAAAAAGAGGCTGGTAATGTCTCAATGTTGTTGCCAGAGACACTGCTTTGGTTACCACATTGGCCTAGGAGCTTTAAGCAGGAAACTTCTTGAGTAGTACTTTATGTTGGCTAACATAGGTTTCTGTGTTGATTAAAAGGAGGCCCATATGTTTAAACTCTTCTTGGCATAGCAGCTAATTGAGTAGATTGTGATGTAGCATTGCTTTATCATATACAAAAAGAAGCCAGGAATTAAGATTGTTTTCTTTAATGAGGAAGACAATAATGCAATCCAGGACAATCTTTCTCAGCCAAATGCTTTCTAAAACTATTGGATTTCATGTCCTCCATGTTAGCCATAATGATAAGTTGACATGCTAGGAATAATGAGAAATGTAGCTAAACATATTATCAGGATATCTGGTTTGGGAACACCGGTTTGCCTTCTTTATAACAGTATTATGCAACACTTGATGAACAAAGTGCTTGGACATGAGGGAAAAAAATCTAAGCATCAAAGAAAAACATACTCATTTTAAAATCTGGTTTTAATCATTTTTACTAGTAACAGCCATATTCATTAGAACATGGAGGCAGAGATGAAATAGAGTGAGAATTTGTACAGTGTAAACAGTTTAATCACATATTTATTCATTGACAAATGGAGCCTTCTTCCATGGAAGGTAAGCTTCAAGGGAAGGCAGACCAGGTTTTAAAAGTCTCCCCGTAATTCCGATGCAGTTCCATAACAATGCTCAGTTATTTTCCCTTTTGAAAGATGTAGTTTGGCATCTTTTCTATACAGCAGACTTGTTAATAACAACAATTATGGTACCCTAACCCTGCATTCATAAACCATAATCTGCACTGGAGAGACTTCGGGGTTTTATTTATTTTAATTTTTCTTGGCCAGGATTATGGGCAAAAATCTATGAAAAGTTCAAAAGATAACTTCACAACAGAAGTACAGTATAGCAGTAAACAAAGGGTGAGGCCCATGTAACATGGTATTTTTGTTGCTGCCTCAGTTTGGGGAATTGTTTGTTTTCTAAGTTAAAGATGTTCCCTTCCTTGTTGACATTTAGAAGGTGACTGAAAAAGATCAGCTTCTGCTGGACCCTGGATCTTATTTTATTAGGGGTTGAGGCTAATGTATGAAACTGGCTGGGGTTAGTATTATACGTGTTTTGGTTTCCTTTGAGTTTATTATGGCCAGAGTACCAAAATATTCTTAAATCGGCAAATACCATCAATTGAAACATTACAACATCTAAGTATCAAAAAAGGATATAATTACAGCTAACAAACCAGAGCAATAAACCTTTTATGCCTTAAGCATGTATAAAACATATGTTTTATACTGCTTAAGGCATGTATAAACTAAAACCACACTGCTGCCTTTCCCATGGTGGGAAAGGACTTAGTATATGGGCACTATAAATGCCATTACTTATGGTACTAGGGTTAGCATCCAAGTCACTCCCTTTAGTTTAGAGGAATGTAATGTTATCTCAATAAACTCATGTCCTAAGTATTATCAGACACATTCCAGCTATATAAGTCACAGTATTATTGACGTTTTTTTTAACCATTTGTAAACAGTATAAGCAGTTTAATCACATATTTATTCACTGACAAATGGAACCTTTTTCCATGGAAGGTAAGCTTCAAGGGAAGGCAGCCCAGTAACTATTACAAGTTTTAAAACTCTCCCCATAATTCTGATGCAGTTCCATAACAATGCTCAGTTATTTTCAAATCAAAGATATATAAATTGATAGATTTTAGTTGTTTGGGGATTATTTGTATTCTCTGTTGTTGTACATGCCAATAAAGAATACCAATACTTCGTTTCAATTACCTCCAATCACTTTGGTTTCTAATTTAACTGGATATTTTCTTTACAGCAGCTTGGCATAGACAGTAAGACTGGAACACCAAGAATTAGAGATATCCCTTGCCACTTTCTCAGGCTCGTGGCTTCTGCCTGTGCCACCTCCAATACAGAACCTATTTGGAGATACATAATTGGGTTGCAGTACTAAATTGTGTGTCAGGGACTCTGCAGGAATTAGTCTGGGTGAACTGTGATTCGAAATGCATGTTTCTGAGTCTTACCAACAGATTCTGCAGAAGAAAGTAAGTGGGAATTTTCTCAAAACAATTACATATGGGAGAATAAATTGAAACATGTAGACAATATGCATGAAGTAAAATTGACCAAGGATACATAATTCAGTGCCCTCTAAAGGTAAACCGGGTAAGAGGGATAATTGGAAGGATGGTACCAAAAGCTATTGACAAGTATACACGCATTAGCAGGCGTATATTTTTCTCATCCATTCCTGGTATCTACTTGAGTGACCCAGGCTGTTTCAATCCCAGGCTGGGTTTGAAGTCTATTTGGAATTATTTTGAATAATCTATGTTGCCTGGACTGCAGGATTTATGTTGCTTTTAAGTATTGTTATCATCTGAAAATTAACCAGGTAGAACTAAAGAGAGGAACCAATTAACCTATGAGCTCAATGAACTGGGAGAACTTCTATCTACAACTACCAACATATCTCTGAATATTAACAGAACAGAGATTGTAACACTTTGAATGGATCTTCTTAAAGGAACTGGAGTTGAAGACCCTTATTAACACATTGCAAATATGCCAGAATAGATCTCATTGTCCTTTTGCTCACTCCTACCTTCTTTGCTGTCTGTACTATGCAATCAGAAGTATTGGTCAATACAATATAACACCTAATTATTTAACCCATAGAAACACAATCTATGGGGATTACCAGTAGAGTGATGTGATTTAGACATGAGTAGCTAAATTAGATTAAATATAGTTCACTATGTAAAGTTGTCTGGATTTTTCTTCCCAGACCATTAGGCATAGAAACTGAATTGGCACAGTTTTGACCTAAACTTCTAAAAAGGAAACTATCTAATTCACTATATAAATTAGAAATTAAAGGTAGTGCAGACTCAATCAATTACACAGAGCTTCCTGTTGGTGTACATTTGAACTACACACATCTAGGATCACAACAGGACCAGTGTCTCTGGTATTAGGGGAAGAAAGGGAGGTTTTTATACGTTGTCTTGATTACAATCCTCACATAAGCGATTTCATGCGTGCCTTTCCAGAAAAAACGTCTGAAATTAATGGATCTCGTCCCCAAAGTACAGGCAGCGACCTTAATAGTTGCTACTACAAAAAAAGTAACTAATCCAATTTCGAAGTTTTATGAGTGCTGCTTCTCTTTCTGTTCTTCCTGATCTCTCTACCCCCCACTCTCCCCCACATCCCCGCGGTCATTTCTCTCACCTGGATGGTTTGCCCGGCGGGGGAAGCCGCGGGTCCCCCCACCAGCTTGCAGAAGAGCTCTAGGCGGGGCCTCCCGCTCTCGTCCTGCCCGCAGGTGGCAGTTGCCCAAATGCGGGTTGTCTCCGCCAGATTGAAGTAAGGCGGGTGGAGACTAAGCGCCCGTTCCCCGGCGCCCAGGGAAGAAGCCGAGAGGGAGCCCGCGGGATGGCAGCAGGACCAGAGTGCCAAGACGATCCCTGCCAACGCTGCGCCTGGCGGCGTTCGAGAAATCAAGAGAACTGCCGCCACCCGGGTCCTCGCCATCTTCGCGCCCCTTCGCTGGATTTGTTTACGCCGTCCGCGGGATCGGTGATCCAAGAGGGACGGCCTGCCTCCGCCCCTCCTGTGCCCCTTTGTGCTCCGATTAGCTCGGAGGGCACCGAAAAGAAAGCAAAGGGGAGGAGGAGGAGGAGGCGGCAGAGACACCTCCTGCTGCTCCGCTGCCACTTTCGCGGAATCGCGAGGGAAAGGGCCGCCCAGGGAGAGGAGACCGAACTACGTGGGTCCTAAGGAGGCGAGGGCGGCGCGGTGATCCCGGGAACGACCTCGGCAGAGAAAAACACCTGCAGCTCTAACCCGGCGCTTGCGTCGTTAGCGGGGAGCACCCGTCGGTCGCAAGTGAGGCGAGGACTGAGGAAACGCGTCACTCGTTACTGGCTGCAGATCAGATCAGATTAAGGCTTCGTCTAGGGCCGCGATCCTGTATGGTCCGCGTTTCTCTCAACTCAAGTGAACTTCGTGGAATTTGCCTTTGATTAAATGTCCATCGGGTGCTTGGGACCTAGTGGGTTTAGGGGGCCGAGGATGGTGTTAAAAACACAAGAAAATTTATTCCGACAACCCATATTTTCCACAACTTGATGCCTTGCAAAGACTTTGAGGTTGGTAACAGGGTTGTTCAGGATTCCCAGGTAGCTGATTTCAAACAATTCACTATTGCCCCTTAATTACTTTATTTAATAAGCCCCCTGAAAAAGTTTCATCTTGGATTTCAATTCAGTTCCATCTGATTTATCTTCTTTTAAAAAAGCTGACCTCTACAAGTCAGTAACTATTTTTTGGAGGGTGTCAGGATTATCTTTCATCCACTCTGTGGAAATTAAAACACTTCCTCTAGAGCAGCTACTTCAGCATTCAAAATTACAGCAGCATAAGTAAAGTGGCAATGGTTTATATAAGTGATTTTTAACATTTCTGGAATGTTGTGATAAGGCAAACATAAGGAATAAAATGTATATACATTAGAAATTTAAAACACTTCCTCCATTTTGTCTTATTACAGTGTAAATGTATCTTGGCAATTTTTTTTTGTTCTGTTATGGATCCATGACATTGCCTTCATTTCATCTGGCACCCATAAGTGGGAGGAACTTGCTATCCTTAGTTGTTCTAGTTTCAGAGTAGTGTTTTCCCCCTTAAACTAGCAACAAAACGGAAAATCTGATGCCCATCAACTGCCACAATAGTCTATCAACACCATAGATAGGTAATCCATAAGGAGTAGAAACAATCCAGCAACAAAGGGCTCCAGGCTTGCTCTCAAACTGGGAATGGATCTGAGCCATTTGACAGATTCCTCTGCGCAGCCCTGTAAATCAGAGGTGTCAAACTCGCATTGTCACAGTGGTGTCATGTGACTGTATTGGAATGTTTTCCCCCTTTGCTAAACCAGGCAGGGCGGGGCCAGCACCTGACGCATCTGGCCCGCAGGCCATGAGTTTGACTCCACTGGTGTAAATGATCATCTGAGCCCTCCTTCCGAAGGAGAGACCAGGTGATCTGGATCAGGGCCATCAGGCAACATGGATGCAATAAGGCCAGATAAATAGTGACATATTATCACAATATAGGCCTTAACAATGGCTCTGACTTGTGTCCAATCACATGTGTTCTTAAGTTTTTCTCCAGCGGTGTTCTAGGCACCTTTGGACCTTTTCAGCACCTTCAGCTCCTCCATAAATCACAGTGAGTTTTGGGAGTGATAGGCCATAAGAGGGCACATGGATCTGATCCTGTTCAGAGCCTTGGCTGCTTTCTGATTCCAGGTTGTGGTCAAATCCTCCACAGGACAATGCTGCAGAACCCCCAGGACATCCTCTAGTTTCTTCTGGAACTAGGGTGGGTCTAATCACTGAAGGTGGACCATTCAAATAGGTCTTGTCTCCTTGCAGGAAGCGGCAGTTCTGGAGATTCTCACAGCCACCAGGGCATGGTCTGACCATGCCAGAGGGGATAATGACAGATCCTCCACCATAACAGGCTGCTACTGCTCGAACAATCATATCCAGAGTGTGGCCACTGTCCTGATTTGAACCTCGGATAATCTGGGATAGGCCCATGGCTGCCATGGTGGCCATAAATTCTTGAGCTGCCTCCGAGGCCAAACCATATTGAAGTCTGGACTGTTGTAATGACGAGGCAGTCGAATTGTTTGATCATGAACAACTGAATCATGATGATGCTCTTTATTGGAGTATAGTCTTGTATTTATATACATTTTTAGTTATCCTCCATCATTGGTTAACTTTGGTTACTGCTTAACTTTAGTTACTGTTTAGTACAGTAATCCATACAATTAATTATCTCTAGTTAAAGTCTAACATATGTCTACTTCCCCTCTCTAATACTCCTTTATCCATAGATTAGTGACTTTGTTTGCCTGAGTTGTATTTGCTAGGAAACATTCTTTATCTGAGGTTTGCCATCCGAGATTGGAATATTCCTGCAATTACAACTCTACACTGGACCATAAGGCAGGGGAACTTCCCTGCCAACCCTGAGACAGCTTTCAGCAGCTCAGGCAAGGAGGTTACTGTGCAGCACAGAAGCTGGTATAGCAAGCAGCAGCATTTCCAAATGATCCTGTGAGACCAACAGGGTCTCACACCAAGAAACCTATGGAGGATGGCACCTGAAAACAAAAAGATTCCTGGATGACAGTTGGTAGGCCCCCTCCTCTGCCCTGAGGCTCTGGCTGGTTGCAGACCCTAAACCCAGCTGGACACATTTCCAAGAGGGAAACTCCCCCCTCTGGTGTCAGCCAGGCTTCAGTAATGCATGCCAGTTCAGCTTGTTCCTCCCCAATGAGTTCAAATTACCTTGTCATAGAACTGTATGACACATGACCACCACTTACAAAGTAAATACTGATAGTTGTATGAGTTTTATATTTAATCTTCTGTTTTGGAGAAAACTAGCTGATTTCACCTAACACCTTTAGCAGCACTTCACAGGAATAAAATATAGAGCCTTCATTCATTGCTGAACTACAATATCCGTCATCATTGCTGGAATTGTTGCTAGGAGTTAAAAACACACTCTCTCTCTCTCTCTCTCTCTTTCTCTCTCTCTCTCTCTCTCTCTCTTTTAATGAAATATGGCTGAAACACCAACTCAATTTTTCCAAAGAATTCTTAATCTTTAAAAGTGTAAATGTATAACTTACTGCAATGCCCTGATATTAAACATTACATAAAGGAAAGAATTTATAGAGTATTATTCTGGGAGCCACTCATTCTCTCACAGCCCTAGAAAGAAAGCCCTGGCAAGCCACTTCTGAAAATATTGCCAAGAAAACTGCAGGGACTTGTCCTTCTAGCCCCCAGGAGTCAGGATTGACTTGATGGGTCACAACAAGAACACTATCACACTCACAGTGCAGTCCTTTCAAGGCTGTACTAAACACAGTGAGACTATTCTTATGAAAGTTGATGTGGGATTATTCTTATGCACTTTTTTTTTTGCAAGGTGAGCACATCAAAAGCCAAAAATAACTTATGTTCTTATTACAAACAACATGAATAAACATCCTAAAACACTTCAGGTACATAACAAACTTGGTCTACCTTTTCATTATTCTGTTTTTGCTAAACAATAGTCTCAGTTCCTGATTTGTAGTTATTCATAACCATATATAACACAATTACTTTTAGTAGCATAAACACTTCAGCATATTTCTAGTTGATCTATGATTTTAATTTCTGGGTTTTTCCAACCAGTTTGTGCTAAATTTCCTGATTTTCCTCCCCAGGGTTATTTAAATAGCTGCAGATGTTTTGGAATTGCCAACATTCACAGATTAGAGGTTCTGAGGTTTTATTTTTGCTTTCAGCCAAATTCCTGGTGGAACACCTTTATTCGGGGAAGCCACATTCGGGGTTATTCGGGGTTTGGAGAACAGATCCATCAACGGTGCCCCTCCCCCTGGTTTAATCTGGGATGGAATTCAGTCAGAAGGCTAGAAGACAGAACCCTGCTATCCAGCTTTGCATCTTCACACAATGTTCCATTAGGGCCCTTAAATTAAGTTACGCAGAAGTATTTTGTGAATGTGGCAAGGAGAAGCTTTTGACAGATTATCCTGACAAAGCTTTAAGAGTTGGTTTCTAATCTAAAACATACAGGAAAGTTGTACATGCTATTCTAATCCAGGAAAGCAAAGGAGGCAAGAGGAAGGAGCTATCTTTGTTTACATTATTTCAATGTTTGGCTTTTTATTATTTGGGGAAAAAATAAACACAAAGTACATTATACTTTTTACCTACCATGTTACCATATGTAATTGGTCTGGTTTACCCAGACCAACATAAAGAAAATAAATAATGTTCTTGTCACTCCACAAAAGCATAATCAAAATAGTTTGAAAATCTTGCATAGAGCAGAAGCAGCTTCACAACTGAAAGAATAAGTCTCTTGCTATAGAAAGTCCAGAAGTGACCTGTGTTATCTACTTATCTTGCCAAATCTACATATTACATTTTATGCCAACAAATATTGATAGAGAATAATGGATATCAGCAACTCCAGTCTGCTTGTTTTAAGTGACACTGATTGCCAGCTTCTATCTTGTCAAATATATGCATATATAATGGGAAAGTGGTATTAAATCTTTTGTGTTTCATATCCTGTTTTTAATAAAGTACAATACTGCCAGTGTTCCTCCTAACCTTTTAGCTGACAAAAGTGATGACAAATGCTTTTTGCCACTGATCCACTTAAAACATCTGATGTTGAGCTGTGCATGTTTCTATTCAAGGAAATTTGATATGTCAAAGTGCACCAATAGGAAATAGATCTTTATATGTGCCAATGGCTCACCCTAAGCTAAAGAATAGTTGAGGAATTGCTTATGGATATTATTTAATAGATTTATGCACAAATAATGTCTCTTATATTCTCCAGATTGAGAGAGAGATCTAGGTACTATGCAAGCATCAATATGTTTTCTTCATTGCATTAATTCAGATATGTTTAACAGTGTTAATCAAGTAGCATAGTGAACCTTATCAACCCAAGTTCCAGCTATAAATTCCTTTCCTGAGCATAGACATGTTTCAGTGCTGTATTCCTTTAAAGGAAACTATGTCAGCAATATCATACTCATCTCTTTCTATAAAGTGCGCACATATACATTTCCATTGCCTCTCTCTTCCTCCTTTTGTAATTAGTCTGCATCTCCCCACCACCTTGCTTTTGTTCCCTGTCCTGAGATATGCTTTGTTACCTGCCTCTAGTCTGCAGGACTCCATCACTGCTACAAGTGAAGTAAGAGAGAAGAAACAGGAAAAATATGTGATTTCGGTCCTGTAGTTTAATTATGGAATATACAGTCATTACAACATGAATAGACAACATGGTATCTATGGAAATATTCCTTGAAACTTATGATTAAATAATTTTGTTCTGTTAAAAACACAAAAAGTATTACCCTGTTTCTCCAACAATACGGTCTCCCCCAATAGGAAGTCCCAGCATGTTTTATAGGCATGAAATGAAATTAAGCCCCTCCCCCCAAATTAAGGCCTATATTAAAACATGCAAAATGGGGGGGAAATGGTGGGGGGGGCTTGCTGTTAGGAAGTACTTTTGTTGCACACCCGGATATGGTGCTGCCTGCGTTGACCCTGATACAAAGTGCCCCACCAACGCCGAGGTCAACATCCAAGTCGTCGCCACCCGCCTGCCCAAAGATGCAAGGCGGGGGAATTAAGTCACCCCGAAAAGACGGCCTAGCCATTTTTTCGGGGCTCAAAAAAAAATAAGACCCGGCCTTATTATATGAGAAACACGGTAATTGGGTCCAACCATATGAAAAGGGAGCTATACACCTAAATGAACTTGCAAAGAGGGAGGATGAGAACAGAAAGGCAACTGA